ACGGACGAGCGAGAGAGAGAGAGAGAGAGAGAGAGAGGAGAAGATTTTCCTAGGGAAAAATTCTCTATCGTCGATAACGACGTTGAGTTTGCACGGTCCAATGGAACATTTTTACTCATAACATGTTTCGTGCTCGCGTTTACTCGCCAGAGAGAGAGAGAGAGAGAGAGAGAGCTCGTCTATTTGTCTTCGTTGAACGTATAATATCGGCCCCGCTTTATAATATTTTACATGGGGGAGAAGAAAAATCAGAGACAAAGCTCGAAGATGAAATAACGATTTCCTTGTGTAAATCTACGATTTCTGGTGTCGTTTCAACGATGTTGAACCACCACGTGAGTGTGACGTGAAAATTATACCGAAGCGTCTTCTCGAATCTTGAGGGGTAACCGCTTGAATTACTTTTTTAAACGTTTTTTCATCGCCGGAGAAAACGACGTGGAAAAATTGTTTTAAAATTAATTCGAGACGTTTCGATAAAGTTAGGAACGATCCACGCTATTCGCGTTGCTCTGGGAATTTTTTTTGAAAAATAGTAATCACGTTGAACGATGTTGAGAGAGGTTTTTCATGATTTTATTACGCTCGATTTAGAGACGTTTTAAGACGCTTTTTTTTTTTATGTTACGATTTAAGAATTTAATCATTTTTTTATAATTCATTTTAATTTCGAAAAATTAATGGAGATCGTTGGATCATAAATTTTATTACTAATTGTATTACAGCATTGAATATTCAAATTTGTATAACAATTGGCACAACTTGGCGTCTTTGGATTGGTTGATTAGAGTTGGAAATCGACACATATTATTTTAGCGACACAAGTAACAGAAGTTTAATGTAACTTGTTTGAAAGGATAGTTAAATCGGATTGAATCCGATGGAATTTGATTGAACGAATTTGTATTTCTGGGAAAATGGAATATGGGGGTAAAGTGGAGGATAAAGTTTGATAGTGACCGATGAGATGACCCAGGTAATAAAGTCACGAAGCTGATGAATCTACTGGAACTGTCCCGAGGATTAGGAAGCGTGCTTTGAGCAACATTTCGATGCTGATTAAATTTCAACGATTAAAACGATTTTAAAATAACAAACTTTCTAAAACATCTCCAACGAGACGTTGAAAATTATTTTCCCTATTAATTTCTCTATAAATTTTACAAATTATCTAATAATAATTCATACATCAATATTTTTCCCCCCAAACATTTCTTTAGAACATTTATTTAGAAATTTAATAAAATAATTTAAAACCAATATATATTCCATAATTTTATAACCTGATTAACAATTGTAACAAGAATAAAAATTCTACGTGCATATAAATACACGATTCGAAAAAAAAAAAAAAAAGAATTCAAAATCCACCCTCTGACGATGAAAAACGTTCGAACGTTTATAATGCTAACAATAGCTTACAGCTGTCGATAATGTTTCAACCTCCGTCACATCTTCCAAACATTTCCATACCATTACCAGGCACGATCACTTCGGATCAATTAAACGTGTGACAATATCGCGACTGATCCAGACACGTTTCACGCCATCATTCGCACCTCATCTAATCCCGATCAACGTGTGTCGTGCAGCAAACGAGCAACCCTTCGCCCTCCCCTCCTCCTCTCAGTTATAATTCCGTTAATAATAAGCCCCCGAATTCGCAGATAGATCGTCGCTCCACGCGGGCGGAAGAGCAGCCAGGAACAATTATAGCGTTCTGCCCGTTAATTGGCCGTGAAGGCCGTTCAATGTCTCGCGCGTTCAAGATAAATTCCAGGTGAATGCCACCATATCCACGTGGAAAGCTGCGATCACAGTTTAACTGGCAATAAGCACGCTCGGAAATCAATGATCACCTCGCTTTGTCTCTGTCTCTTTCCCCCTCCTCTCGCTCGGTTTATATACCGGCGCGGGATAATATCGTCGTTAATCATAGGCCGCGGACAAGGCTGGCGATCGAAACGATTAATTCTGACGGAACTCAATTTATTTCGATCGTCTGCAGAAACGGTGGTGGATCGGATTGGATCGAGTTTGGGGAAAAATTGAATAAAAAGGAATTCTTTCGATAATATTGCGGAGAATTTTTCAATGATTTTCTGATTGAATATTATTTCCACCGAGGGTAAAGAGAAGTATGTTTACATCACTGCGTAAAATATACGTGGAAAGTGTGTAACAGAGTTCGAATAATCGAAGATTGTAAATTAAAAAGAATTATTAACGGGAAGTAAATATGGTTTGGTTATATTTTAATTCAACGTGAAAATTGGAAGAAAGATGGAGGAATTTCTCGGATCTTGCACATTGATATAAGCATCAACATGATTAATTTGAAAAGCATCTTGCAATCTCATGGTCCTAGTTTGAATCTCTGGCAATCTCGAGGGTTTATGATACGTCAATCACCGTTCACAGTGTAGCGTCCAAGTTTCACGCTAGTTAATTTCTAGCTGGAATTTCAGACAGGGGAACGAGATTGTCAAAGGATCAATTCAGGACGCGAATAAGGGAAATTCTTTTTACGAAAATTCATCAGAATGATTATTTTCGTGTCTTAATATAAGCCACTTACCCTGATTTTTCGAGTTCCTTCTTGGAAACACAAACAGCGGTGAATGTATCCTTAAGGAGACACAAATCCTTCTTCTTGCAATTCAATGGACGGCAAAGTTCACCTGAAAAGAAAAACAAAACATTTTATCAAAAAGAGAAATTTCCAAGTGTCTGGTAAATTACTAAAAATTATCGTGAAATTAATTGTTCAATTTAATTTAATAATCATCAATTATTATCATTTTTCTTTTCATTGGATTAAATTCATTTTATAAGCAATACAAATTAAACTCATCGCACGTTGTTTCTTTACTAATCTATCTAAATGTAAGTGTCATCGTTCCATTCCATTTCCTCCCTCCAATTACAAATCAAACCTCGTTATATCAATCGATATTTTATTACACCCGTTTAAGTACAATAAACCACTTTATTAATTCCCAAGACCTTCGATCCTCCTCCACTTAACAACACTTCCCTTTACTTCCAATCGATTTCAATTTCTTCTGGCGCGATGCGATTGCTTCGTTCCTCAGAAAATAGAGATTAAAGGACAGAGAGAGAGAGAGAGAGAGAGAGAAAAGGAAGAAGAAGAATGATTTAAGAAACGAAGCTTCGAGGAACGAGGTATTCACGGATTGTGAGCGTGGCTCGATATTAAAGAGATAGGAAAAAAAAAAAAAAAGAAAAATGTCTTGTAAACGACGTTCGAGGATTCACGTTCGTCAGAATTAAACTATCGTCGTTCGCAGTCACGATCGACGACGTGGAAAAATTCTGAGGTGCTTCTCTATCCCTTTCTTTCTTCTTTCTTTCTTTCGTGCATCGATATTACGCCACGGCCCCGCCAAGCGTATTGACGCCTTGGAACGCGCGCAGTTTCGCCTTATTAAATTTTAAGACCCGCTTCCGGTGGAGGAATATCCGATTTCGTCGCGTTTTACGATATTCACGATATTGTTCGCCGTCAATGTTCCCTTCTCCTCGCGGGAAAAGGCGAGTTAATGCGGATTTTTTTATTATTTAGGGAAGAGGATCGATGATTGCGATGCGATATTTTATTAGGTGTTCGAATTTGCAGCGGAATATTCATTCGATCGTTCTTTATAAATTTGCAGACTCGTTTTTTTATATCCCGTTTCTGCGTCAGTCGACGAGTTCGAGTTTTTAAATTCGGAGTTTTAAAAGCTTTACTATTTCGCTTTACGCGATTAATTGAATTTTTTTTTTTTTTTACAATTCTCAAGAAAAGATTCAAGTAGTATTAATTCAATTTTACATACAGTTATTCGTGTTTGAAAGGGTGCAATCAGACCGGATGCAAAATAAGATGGATACGAGAAAAAGAAACGGTGATCTTAAATGGTGATTTATTATTCAAATGTTATAATATGCGCGCTTTAAATATGCTCTTTTGCATATTATTCCGTAGATTTTTACAAATTTTCCATAAATGCATAAACATTACGATTGAAAATGACACGAATTTACATTCTATTATGGCGTATTGGGCTGTAATTCTCCCTTTTGTAACATTCAAGAATAAACCCTGCGATTCTTTCCAACGAGAATAAGAGGAATTAACCAAAAATTAACACTTTTAACTTTATCAGTTACAAAACGCAACAAAACCCTCTTCGATCCCTCTTGAACAACAAATTCATCAACAATAAAAAAAATCTATTATTTTCCAAAATGTATTCCAAAATCTCCCACGTATAATTCCACGTATAATCGCGTTCAACCAAACGAATGGCCAAAAATCAATTTCTCAAAGGCTATCTTGTGGCCAAAGCCTCTTTTCCCCTCTGAAAGGTCGAAAATAGATTTCACGAAAGGGTTGACCGTTAGAGAAAAAGAGAGAGGCAGAGATTGAAACTAATTCTGTCATTGAACGCAAGGAGGCAATCCGGGATTTTCGCCGAAATGATTCGTTCTTTGATGTAGCGCGTGCTGTGGCGGCCACGGTTCAATGGGTGGCGCAATTGCATTCGCGTGGAAATAGTCGACAAGCGATATTGGTCGTTTCAGGCAGCATACCGCATCGAATCCCCTTCCCCCTCTTCTCCATTAACCTCGTCGACCATCGCGCGCACCATCGCGAAATCGCGATTACCTTTTGACGTGTAAAACCGATAAGGATTTGTCCTCACGTCCCTCCCTCTCTGTCTACCATTCGCTACTCGTTCCCACGTTCGATCGTTTCGGATCGACGTGTCGTCTCCCCCCCGTCACGATGAAACGACGAACGTTTCGTGGGGGGAGGGGAGGAGGAGGGAGAGTAGAAATTGTAACTTGGTTAAATTGAGAACGATACGCGTGGTTTTCCTCCTTTCCTTTTTTTTTTTTTTTTTGGTTGGTTTTGCAGGGATTTGACGAATTTTTGAGTAATAATTAAGTATACGTTTGCGAATTGATTTTATTAGATGTTATTGTTTGTTTAAAGAGATTAATTTTTAAAATTGAAAATTAAAACTTTAATAATCGTTTGTCTCATCGTTGCATTCGTTCTTTTACTGCAGATCTCTTTTATGCGCTTTTTATAACGAGAAACCTTTTTACCGTACCGTTTAAAAAATATTTCATTCGATTATTTATTTGTGTCGTTTATACAAGAAAAATAAATACAAATTTAAAAAATATAAAAATTTTACAGTTTATTTATGAATCTTACTCGTGTGTAATATTATTACGACGAGTTATAGCGTGGAACGACATAAATCGCGGCACAAGAAACGGCAATAACATTGTCGTCGATATCCAAAATATCGGATTTAACGGAGTCGTGTTTCGAACGCCGAGCAAAGCGGACGTGTTTTCTCCGTGCTCCTCGCGAGAAAGCTATATTATTTAACAAATTAATTTCGTTTTGCAATAAATAATTATAAATTAATTGTAATTGGGAATAAATTACGAATTATACGAAGAACGAATGCCAGCCAGATGCAATAATCATCATCGTATACTATTTTTTTTTTTTAACATTACGAAATTAATTCATTTATAATATCGAGAAAATATTAAAAATAATATAAACACGAGTAATAAAGTAAGAAATAAAATTATTTTATCACTTTAATCTTATTCGTCGTGTATCGACCAAATTCCACTGATACAAGAAGAAATCGTCATGCTCTACTTGTCCCACTATGCACGGTCCCATTCCACTGCATAACATTTAGCGCGATCGTGCACGGTTTGTCTGATTATATACAAGTCTATTTTACTTTGCTGGAAAAGTCTCTTCGCTTTTGCTGCAGACTACTCTGTCGTCAATGTAACCTCAACGAATTCACGGATATTCACATTTCAACCGAGGATCTCCTTGATTTAAGTGCATTTTACTTTTATCGAGGAATTACTTCGCTGTGTTGTGAAATAATGCATCGACCTATTTTTCAAATTCGAAGAAGCTTTTTCGTTTAATGAATTTTCGTCCTATATATTTTTTGATATTGCGTACGATTGTATAATTTAACATTTAGATTTTTAATACTTTTAAACAGCACTGTTCTCCACAATTTTTTTATTTATTTTTATCAATAAGATTTTTTTAATTATTTCGAGAACACGCAACAATCGTTTAATTTCAATTTTTCATTTCGTAAAAAAGTAATTTTTAAGAATGAATTGTCATTCGCCCTTTATTTTTCATTAAAAGAATAAATCGCTATTTTAACTCTTTTAATTAAAAATCTAACTTAATTATTAAATAAGAAGAAAAAAGATATCAAAGATGTCAAAACTCGAAATCCTTTCAATTCTAATGGACTTCGATATCTCGTTTTATTTTCCTAAAATTAAAAAAATTCGCTACAAAAAATTTGTCGCGAAACAGCGCAGATCCAGTCTTCGTTCATCTTTATCTCGAAATCCTTGAAAAAAAAAAAAAAAACCGATATTTCAATCTCCATTTCCTGCAATTATATCGAGATGCACACCTTTCTCTTTCTTTTTCTCATTTGCGAAAAGGTTCGTCGAAAAGGAAGGATTCGATCCAAAGCTCCTCCCTTTGACCACTTTTTTCTCTCTCTCTTTTTTCTTCATCGATGCAAACGACCGCCTCCTACGCGGAGAGAAATCGAGGCCTCCTTAATTCGCGCCTGTTCGACTTTAATTCCTCCAAACGGATATTACACGGCAAAGGCTAAACTTTTAATTAGACGCGTAATGGATCCCAACCGATCCAACTTATCCGAGTTGCACGGCCTTACCGTTTGTTTGGGATACACTTTTTCGAATCGGGGAGGATGTTGTATCGTTGTGCAAGCATCGAGGGGACGGAAAGATTGGAATCTGGAGAGCGTGTCTTAAGGACGCCGCGTTTTCATGCCTTCGTTTCAACCCTGAATGGATTACTATAAGACGTTCCAATCTAAGGGGAGGAAAGTGAGATAAGAGAAACGTGAATCGAGAGAGTAGAAGAGATTGTTCGAAAATTTATTTGAGGTATTTGGGGAGAAAGTAATATTTCAATTAGTAATTTTATAAATTAATAATAATTTATAGGAAGAGAAAACGATAGAAATTCAAGTATTTTGCGAATCTAAGCAACGTTCAATCGGAATAAATCTCTCTTCTCTTTTTTATCAGAGACGAAATAAGAATCATTTACATATTTTATACAAGGATATTAAAAATAATATTGCATTATATTTCCTTGTCACGGTATTTTTACTCTTCTGTTCTTATATGTTATTTCCCATTTCGAAAAACAGGTAAATTTTTTAATAGAGAACGAAAAATACAAGGGAAGAAGATTGTTCGATGATATATTTTCACGGAATGGACAAGAGTTTGAGAACGGTAATCCAGAACTTTGCGTGTCCCCTTTCGAAGATGGAGGAAGACAATGATGCGAACAGACAGTTTCTGCGAGGGGCTTCGAGCGAATTGGATCCGAGTCGGTTCGACGATTCCTACGAACGTTTGCTCCCCGACAGGCGTCACGAACTATTTTGCAATAGAAGATTTACTTGGATTTGATCGGTGAGAAAAAGAGAACTATCGCAACACGGGAATTTGATTTGGTCTCGGTATAAATATCCTTTCCCATTTTCCATTTTCCTTTCCATTTTATTTATTAGAATATGGAAATTTTAATCAAACATCGAGAATTTTA